TTATCCAATTTGATGTGTCTCTTTTTGTTTTAGATGATAACAACACAAGAGTACTGTTTGAGAAAGTTCTGAGTTCCATGCCCAAAGACAAAGCAAGGTTTGTCACAGTTTTAACTGCAGTGAAAATCCCCCCTCCAGTTACTTTGCTGGAGATTGTTAATGCAATACTTCTAAAAATACAATTCAAGTTGATGTATTTGTTTATTTACACATTGTTAGTGAAGTTTGGGGGAAATTCTTGGAATTCGAAACCACAAGTGGTGACTTGGCCAGCTTAGTAAAAGTAGAGAACAGAAAACTTGAAATCTATAGAGAGGTAAGCTAAGGCTAGCTGTCAGACTTCATGGGTCTATGAGTATTTCCTTACTTTTCCTTGTGCATGAAACATGTATTATTATAAAAACTATTTAAATGATGTACTTAAATTGTTTGTTCCTGTTACATTGATTGCCATCTGACAGACCTCACCAGAGTCATTCAAAAATCAATGAAAGTGAAGTTAAATTAATTTTAATCTGAAACTTACTTAATTATTTTAAGCTACAATATGTACTCTGCTCTTTTCTGCATGTCACTTTGCACAGCCAAAAGCAAATGCATTTAAATCTGGATTCTGGTTGTTCTTTCAATTTTACTCACGGTCTATTTTTTAAATTTTCTTTTTACAGGAACTGGATGGCCATGAAACATCAGTGCTTGTTGACAGATATAAATACTTAGACCTTTTTCCTTGTACTTCTTTGGAACTAAAAATTATGGGCTATGTGGTAAGAGTCATTTTCCTAGAAATCTCTTCCTACTATGGTGCCTGCATCAAAAAGTATCAACTTTGTAATTATTTTGCAGTAACCTTGTAACTCGGGGTGAAGACCAAAATAAAATGTTGATGTCCTGTTTGTTTTGATGTTGGATCAAAATCTTGAGTCCAATGCTAACATTTGATTTTCAAACATTTTAAACTTAAGGGCTCAACAAAACAGAATGGCAATGCACCAAGCATGCTGTCCTCTGTTCCTTCTCAAAGTGAACAGAATGAAGAAAAACCGGTGAAATATCCTCGGCCAGACACATCACAGATGACACCGTTTAAACCAGCTGCAGGAGCTGGTAAGAGTTTACTCAGAGTCTTTAATTTAGATTTGAAAATTTAGGATTGTGATGAAATTGAAGTCTTATTTACATGAGTCTGTGGAATTCTGATTTACCATGATCCAGTTTTGGGCCAACAAATTTTGATTTGATTCAATCAATGGGGTGGTTAGATTAACAAAGTCACATATTGCAGAATGACTCTTTCTTGAGGCTTTCAACTCATTAGGATTTTCATTTAAGTTATGCATCATGTCACAATGGCACTCCATCAACAAATTCAGTTTCTCTTAGGACTTCTGATTTATTTTTTAGCCATATTTGTATTGCTCTTTATTATGGTCTTTACAAGCCAAGATCATTAAAGCTGTGACGTTCATACCTACTGCACACCACCAGTATTACAAAGTGACATATGGCAGCCAATTAGTATCGTTATTCCATTAAGATTGTTTGTGACCGGCTCTTAATCTTTTGATCAATTTATTACAATGTAGTCATTAAATGGCTTACACAAGGTGCAGTGTGACCTGCAATGCATGAGGGGAAGTGGGGGGAGAGGCAGTTAGGAGCTAGGAAAACAATATATATTTTGTGATTATCTTGAATAGTTTTTTCTCATGAAATAATAGTCAGTACATGAATAATCCCTATTAATATACATTACACTTACTATGAGTTATCTGATTGGCCAGAATATTCAATCAATATAATACAATAGCATGTGAAGTTGACATGATAAATGCAACATCTGCACTGGATATTGTATGTTGAGTTCAAAGTCTTCCTAGTTTCGAAGCCCCTCATCTATGTACAGTGTTCTCAAACTTTTGCAAACTCAGAGAGGAACTCAAAGTAACTGAACACTACACCAAAAAAAAATTATTGAATTTGGTTTTGCATGATATCATGCTGAACCTCATCAAATAATTGTTTATTGCTTTGCAGTTGGGCTTCACTCAGTACCAGGGGGAGTTTTTCCAGTTCCACCTGTGGCAGCACATCTTATGACTCTTTTACCTCCTCCATCTTGCTTCCAGGTAGTGTATTGCAGACTAGTTGGCCACAGCCTCAACCTTTTTATTCTTGTTTTTCTTGTTACCATGTTCCCACCAATAACATGGCTCTATTTTCTACATATAAATGCTCAAACAACCCACAATTCCTCCATTTGCTCTGAGAAAGGGCTAATGCTTGAAACATCAGCTTCAAAACACTTAATGGTGGCCAATTTACATTATCAACATAGTCAATAATACCAAATTACCCTGTTATACTCTCCCACCAAGCTCAGCAGCTCAGTTTCTTTAGAAACTTACCCCCTTATATTCATCATGCTTAATCTAGTTTGAGTTATGGAAATCATTAGGGAACTGATTCAATTAAACAATATCGCATGGTTTGATTAAGGAAGACATGTCCAGGATTAAATTGTTTGGCTGAGGGAAATGTCAATCTGTTTGAATGAGGTAGTCATTCCTGGAATTACAGTTACCTTGTGCAGATGTTAATTTCAAGTAAATTTATATACAGGTTTTATCCTCATCATGGTCTGAAATTTTTCTTAAGTGACACATGACTTTCAAATGGCTATTTTCAATGCAACAACACTGTTTTAATGTTGGAGGTGTTTTGTTGCACTGTGAAAATCTGACATGACTTTTTGTAGACATTGTGAGAAATACCAGTGCTATATTAATTAACTTTAAGGGCTGGAGCACTTTCCTCTCACCAATTTGGTAGGAACAGTGGTGCCCTCTTTGTCATACATGGTTTACTAAAGAGGCAGAATAGATCAGCAGATCAGGGATCTAGCCTTAAAAACTCACTGGTTGTGGAATTTTGTCAAAGTTAAGCGGATTTGTGGATTCAAAAATTTATTAGGTTTGCAAACTGGCTTAACTTTTGGGCCAAGATTCCATATTCTGTTGAGAAGTTCAGATTGTGGATTGCATCTGGGTCAGTCTTCGGTTGGCCTTTCAGCCAGGGAATTTACAGATTGGGTCAAAACATTTTATGGTTTGGGGTATTCTGATTACTCCCTCTTGAACAGATCATCACCTGACAATGTAATTAATAGACCTTTACTTACCTTGTGTCTTCCTTTGTTTCTGTTGCCACTTGCCATGGTCACTGCACTTTGTGATTTTCTCAGAAATTAGCTGTGCCACTCAGCTGGTCTCACCCTTTATTTTTGTTGTATATATAGGGTCCATTTGTAATGGTTGATGACTTCATTCAGTTAACTTTAGAGTCTGAAATACCAGAACCAGCGCCTTCAGGTTGGTGAAAACTTTGGCTTATGTGACCTTGATACAGTGTGATACATGTTTCAAATGAGAGGGTATTGCTGAGTTAAATTTCAGATAACATTTTCTTCACTTGATATCTCCCTTTTTTTTTGCTTTATACTGTTAGTTGCTTTAGTCAGTTTTAACATAAGTTATCTCAAAAACTTTTTTGATGTATGTGAAAATAAAGGCAAATTTTCCTTGCTCAGATCTCCATAGGAAATTGCCATGCAAGTGGTGTAAATCAGACATTGCATGTATTGTGAGTTGCGTGCTGCTCAGTTCAAAGCGTTGATATCCCCCCACCACCCTTGGGCAACCCATGGGTATTTGATTGTTGTCTGTACCTGGGGGTAGGAAATTTGAATACAAATTTTCAAGTATGTTCAGCACAGCAAATTTGTTTTATCTTTTAAAACAGAGGTGTTTTAAGGTAAAGAATTCACTTCCTTCCCTTTTACAAAAAGTTATCCTAAAAAATCTTGGAATTCAAAGGAACCAATCTTCAAAAGTTCAAATGTGCAGGGGAGAGGAGGGGTATGTTTATGCTTTGAATTGATTGATGCATCATGTTACGCTGTAATGCTTTCTAATTACTGCAGGTTTACCAGACACTGAGATGGGTCCACTGAATGGTGTTGAGGGTGGTGAAGATGGAATAGAAGTTGATCAAAACAAACGGGGTGTCAAAAGACCTGGGGCTGATCATGAAAGTGATGATGAGAGTTCTGCCGCACCACCCGAGAATGACATCTACAGGAGTCGTCAACAGAAAAGAGTGCACTGAAAAAAAAAAAGGGGGGGAATTTCATCATCCTCAAAACTTGTGGAGCATAACCATTGTAGCTTGCATTTCTGCCATGTGTTATTCTGAACCTGGATTGAGAGGCAGAGGCTGTCTGCAACAAAGGCTAACCCATTTAAGACATCTATTTTTCTAATTCACTAAAGATTATGTCCTCCCTCCTCCCTCCCCTGATAATTCGCCAGAGGAGGAATGAAGATTTAACTCAGACAAACAAGGGAATTGTAGTCTTCGTTATGCCCCATTATTAAGGGTCAAAGAAATTCTCAAGGAGTTAAAAATTCTTATCACCTACAGTTATTACTAAAACATGTTCATTTTGCCAGCTTCGTGATTGAGCTTCACAACTTGAAATCACGTTTAAGTCAAGCCTCAGACAAGAGATACATGTATTATTTAGTTTCCTTCGATGATCTTTGAGGCCAATTGAGAGCAAGAAAGTATTTATTTATATTTTACAAATTGACCTCTGAACTCTGTTTTCCTTTCACTCTCTGCCCCAGTCAGTGGTCCTCAGTCATCAATGTTTGTACAGCCCATTTAGAATGAGTTTTTAGTGCCTTGAATATTTAAATAGTTTGAACAGTTTTTCCTTGCACTTACTAATTGCATATAAAACTGTGTAGCGTCTCGAGCTGAGTCTCTCTTGGAAGATCTTATAATAAAGATTAGCAAATGCATCCTATTGTGTGAAAATACCCCATATGTAGTATAATTCTGCCAGTAATCCTCCCAGTGGAATCACAAATTTGGTAGATATCCTACAAAAGCTTTTTGTACTATTTCTTGTTGTTTGAAGTTTAGTAATTAAGAGATTCTTTTGAGTAACATTTAATCAAGTCCCTCCAAGTATAACAAGATGCCTGCACCAACCAGCACTAGTTTCTTTAGAAACTTACAGTAGCCTTTTTGTACATTAAAATTAAATCTTCATGAAAAAAATAGATTTCAGATTTAATGGGAACCAGAAGAAGGTTGTATCTTAGAATTCAAAACATAGTGAAAAATGAAATGACTAGAGGTGCACATATCCAAAGGAAAAAACAAAGAGAAGCTAAAAAAAGATGTTGTCAGATAACTATTAAGTTGACTTTACCACAGAGCAAGAAGAGGCTTCAGAGGTGATCCACTCTTCAATTCACAAACGGACTATTTTAAGCCTCTCATTGTCATTTGAGTCTTCACCTCAGGTCATCAGCCCTTTTGGGAGCTAGAGCTTGGAGCATCAGTTTAACAAAAATTATAGATTTCATGTTGGTGTGTGTCTGTTGGTAACAGATCACATGATATCAGAATGTGGTAGAAACAATGACACTTAGCTGTGCCTCATGTGCCACTTTTTAGTTCTCAACCATTGACTCCCAAGATCCAATTGAGAATTTTCTCCTTAAACTGCTACACATTTCCTTGGAAATCAGTTATGAGAATTTGGTGTTTTATCTAGAAAAAAACTCCAACCTAATAAGTTTGCTGGATAATGCATGGATATTAGAGGGAGAAGTTACTCGTGAATCACTTCTGGGAGTTAAAGGGTTAACACATTTTGATCTACAGATGCAGGGAAACATGGAATCTATTCGTTTTATGTGATAAAGAAGCCAGAAACTGTCACTAATGAAGTTATCTACGTGTCTGTACTCCAATAAATTGTAACGGCAATCAAACTGCATGGGTAACTTAGCTCACTGTATAATATTATATAGAACATAGCAGAATTGAGTTCAAACTTGTCTGTAAAGTTTGAGGGACAAGGAACAGCACATTAGATAATGAGATAAAGATAGGTGGCTAGGTGCTTTAAAGCTGAAATAAAGGCTAAAATTACAGGTACGTTGCCTTTAGCCACAATAGGTCTCGGTATCATCGTTGTATACTATATGGAGATAAAGCAAACTCCTCGAGGCGTTCCTCATCGGGTAAAACGTTATTTAGTCTTTCCATCATTGGAACAAGGCGCTTAAGATTAGCATCAATTCTCCTCAAATTTGTATTCATTTCTTCGACTTTTTTCATCTGCATCGCTACCTGAGACAATCTTTTATATCTATCGTTCACTCTTCGTAGAACTGAGGCACAGTATGTATCCATTTCTCGAATCTGTGATGACAGCATATGTTGATCAAACGATACAGCTTCAGCGCACTGTTTCAAATGTTTCTCGTAGCGCGAACACAACGACAAGCAAGGACGCAAATCGAATTTATCCAAGAAATCTAAGTCTCTGCTCGCAGGAACATTGACAGTGCTTCTCAGCAGTGGTAGAAAGTAAGGTAATTCGTTCAAATTCCTTATATCGTGATCTTCATTTTTGGAAACAAGCTTTGTCTTTCCTGTTGGGGCATTCACGACCATGATGTCTTCCAATTTCGCTCTCTGTTTGGATTTCGATTTTCCATCGTCATCTTTAACTTTCCCTACGGAATGTGCGGAAGCAGGAACATTTGGATGGCCCATCTGACCTGGAAAGCCACTGCTTTGATCTTGTCCCATCGCTAATCTCTAACTTACGACCAAGTCATCTTTTATCTTCTACGTTACCTGTCCGCCATCTTAGTTTCCAGTGTCCACGCGGTAACTTTTCCTTGAACCCTTGCCATTTCAAGCTAGTCCTCGAGTAAGCTTGTGTCTCGTACATGGTATTTGATCTGCCTGCTAATGATAAGTCGTTGTTCGTAGCTCTTTCATCCTCACCCGATAATTGTCAATCATTTTGCTGCACTGAAGAGTGGAAAAAGGATTCTACGAGGGCTTTCCACAAAACTCTCATTCGCATAAAATCAGTTCGTTTACTTGGTCGTTAATCAATTTCAGATACAGCACTCTATATAAGAAAAGTGCACCAAAGAGGTTCATTGCTGACTGAATTCGAAAAATACAGCTTGATTTTTTTCAAAGTTCCCAAACTTAAGTGAAAACAGTTCAAAGGCTAATCACCTTTAATTTATCTTCTGCGGATTACCTTGAGCTGGAAAGT